GAGTTAGGAATGATAATGATAATAGAAACATTATTTGATACTAGATTCGTCAAAGAGCATATATTTTATTAATTTTTTTCTTTATTCTGTAACTTTATTACTTCAATTCAATTTATTTTATTATTTATTAAAAAAAAAAAATACTCAGTTGAATAAACCGAGTATTTATTTTTTATGATAATATTAGCCACAAATGGGTAATGAATATCCTGTATTTGATGAAAAACAACCAAAGAAATTAAGTGAGAGTGAGATTGAATCATTTCGCAATGATTACAATGATTTAATTTCACAACCATATAATTTAGAAAATACGAAAAGATTTCATGATAAACATAAAAATATATTATCAAGATCTTCTTCATATTCATCCTGGGTTTTTTCTGTCGTTGTTGATGCTGATTTGAAATATTTAGGGATGGTTGGAGTCGCTGGGAATGTAATGTATATGATTGATAATGATATCATTTAGTTTTATATTGTAATTATATTATAATCCTGTTCAGTATTTTTATACCGAACAGAAACTTACTACTGTAAGGATGCCTCGTCAAAAACATACAACAAAAAAGAAACCTTCTCCTTACTCTATCAAACAAAAAAATAACTTTAATACTTTACCAAACGAATTATTTCTTTTGATATTCTTATTTCTGATCCCAAACGATATCACCAAATCCTCAAAATTCAAGTTAAATGATCGGAGATTCATCGATTTTCAAAAGACAAAATTCGTGAATCGGCAATTTTTTTGGGCTTATAGATATTATTTTTCTCGATATGAAACAAAATATTGTCTGATACAAAAGTATAATCAACTTTATTATCCACCCAAACGTTATAAATGGAATATTCGATATTGTAATATACACACTTGGATTGAAGTTGAAGTCGAAGAAAACAATCAATCAAGGCATATACTTCGCTATGATCGCTATGCTGATTTTGGAAAGTTGTATTGTATGTCACATGGTGATGTTTTACTATTTATCGAATCAAATAAAGTTGATGGTTACGGGAAAAAAACATGTGATATTTGCAAAAGTTTTACATATTGTGCAAAATGCTCCTATGAATTTCGAAGAGATGACGTATCGGAATTACGAGA